GGTGTCTTTGAGATCACCGCTATTCGATGTTGTGGGAGTTGGGCGATGTCCTGTCGCAGCTGGGACAGGGTCCTTACCTCAGGGTGACTTGAGTGTTTGTCAGTCACGTTCAGAGTTCGAAGCTTCTGGGGCTCCGGACATGCTCCTGACAACAAGTGGTCACGAAGACCTTTCCATTGATGAAATTTGCGCATGCAAGCCGCACATTGCGGCATCCCATCCACCGCGTGGAGTTGTCGATCGAAGCTTGATGGCACAAATCGGTCAATGCTGGCTGGATGCACTCTCGACGTGTGTAAGTGTAACCCGTTTGCTGTCTCGAAGGAGGCATCGCAGAGTGTGCATGCATGTAGGGCTACAGGGTGCTCAACTGTTTCAGGGAGTTGTGACATGAAATGCAGCTTGTCCCGGATGACTTGCAAGACTGTAGGATCAGTTGTGATATCTGGGCTTCTGGCTGCACGTCGCTCAAGTTTGCGGAGTCGCTTCCTGAGCTTGACCTGCATCGCTTGAACTGGGTCCTGAATGCTATAAAGCTGGAAGAGATCCTTAGTGGTGATGCGGCTGGTGTGTGCTGGTAAATTCAGCACTGATCGCACCTTGTAAGCATGCCAACTGCGTAGCTGCTTGGCCGACTCCTCGCTGAGTCCGACGTCTGAGAGGCCTGTCGTCAGTGTGCTCAGGACTGTGCTTTGCCAAACCTTAAGTCTCGACATGGTGCTCGCGTGCCGGCGATTGTAGACAAACTGGCGGACTTGATGCAGCTTTTGCTTGGCTTCCCCTATGCGGTAATGTAAGGATTGCAGCTCGAAGTGGTTGTAGGAGATCATAACCCCCAGGTACTTGCTACAGGAGACCCACTGGAAGGCGGGGAACGATTTGTTGGGCCCTATGCGCCATCCGCGAACCTGCTCGCCCTTGGAGTTGGTGATCCAGCAGCCGTGTTTGTTCATCACGTTTTGGGATTCTCTACCCGCTAACTTCACTAAGATGACGCACTTGCTGATGTTGACGCGTAGGCGGTGTTTGCGGACCTCCTCAAGTAGCGCTGCGATAAGCGCATGAATGGCCCTGAGGTCCTTGTCAGAGCGGATAGTCCGATGGAGCGTGAGATCATCGGCATATCCTGTCAGGAATTTCAAGACCTGCTCAGCACCGAAAAGGTCAACCAAAGAGCGGAAAAGGTCACCTGTAAGGAACGAGAAGAGTGTGGGGGCGAGCTTACATCCTTGTTTAATGCCTGCTGTGGTTTCAACAGAGGTGGAGTCTCCCTGCGCGTGAAGGACGTAACGAGACCCATCATGTAGAGCCTGAACTAGATGGACTGTGTCCTGATCGGCCCCTTCTCTCTGAAGAAGGTCGATGATCTCTTGGCGAGAGACAGTGTCAAACGCTTGGCTGAGGTCAAGAGCAAAGGTGAGGCCGCCGACTAAGGCCGGGGCCTGTGTGCCTTGTTGCAGGGCATGTCTCGTGGGGTGAGCCTGTTCTAACAGGGATCGAGCCTCTCGCAAGTGATGCACCACGCGTTCTAGCGCGTCTGACAGCCCCCGACCTGGTAGATAAGCGAACTGTGGCATGTGCTTGAGAAACGAGAGTGTCAGTGGTTGAAGCGCTTCTCTGGCCGCTCCCGCCAGCCCCTTAGCGTCAGGCCTAAGGATGCCCAGGGGTCTCAGGTTTGCGGGTTTGTCAGAGGGCTTGCCCGGCTTGGGTATTAAGCAGAGATCTGCGTCTACGAGGTCGGATTCTAGACTGTCCTCGGCCTGCTTGGATGCTACGTGTTCGGAGAGGACCGGTGCAACGAGATCGCTACACAGCCTCCATACAGCCGCTGGTGCCGCTCCGTCAGGAACAGCTTTATTCGGCTTGATGGAATGTATGTGAGCTGCTAGTTTGGGCGGCTCCAAAGCAGGGAAAGCTCCATGCATTGTCCGTAACGGCGGGTGGGCCGCAAATACCTGATTGGCATAGTCCCTGAGGGCTGCTAGTTCCTGCGCTGGACCTAGTAGATGTCCTGTGTTGTCCTTTAGCTGAGCTCTGCGCGCAGGCTGCCAAGGCTGCAGCTTTTTGAGGGTCTGGAAGGAGATATGTTGATCACCTTCAGCTAGACACGCGTCCACTTCCGATATGAAACTCGCAATTCGATCTTTCTTTGCTTGTTTCACAGCCTGGCGGTGTGCCACTTGTGCCAGCTCAGCTTCGGTTTCCGGCGGACGTGGCGTGTTCTGATTAGGAGGCTGTGCCATTGCTTTAGGTGACTCGATCAGCTGTGCTGAGGGAGTGGTATTCGCAGCCCTGTCGTGGGTGCGGGCCCGCCACATTCGACGGGTTTCCGATTCCAGCGGGATCGGTCTTCTTTTGGGAATTTTTGGGAAAAAGCGTTCTGCACCTTCCAAAAGCAACGCATTCCATGCCTTGGGGTCCTGGCAGGTGTCGATTCTGGAAGCGATCCAGTTGTGCAGGGCCTTGGCCGTATCGTCCTCCTCCCTGACTGAGGCCTGTAGAGCTAGTGAATCATACCGGCGCGTGCTGGGCTTGTGGGATGGGAGCAGCCAGTGGTGTTGGAGGGGCACGTCAGCTTTGAGTGGGTAATGCCCTCCTTTCTTCCAGCTGCCCAATGGACAGTCCACCCAAGGGGCTGACCGTTTGGCTTTGCCCCCCGCCGTAGATTCTTTGGTTAGAATGAAGTCAATTTGCGACTCCACGCCTCCTTGTGAGAAGGTAGCTATATGGTCACATTGCCAGGTGTTAAGGGCAACCAAACGCAGCCTGAGCAGCAGATTAAACAAGTTGGATTCGTCAGGGCGGTCCTCAGTGGGTGGCTTCACGTGCGTTCCCACCAATGGAGAGCTCGGACGCAGGGAGGTGTTAAAATCGCCTGCTACAATAAGGGAGTCCCTCTTAGGCACCTGCTTGATCACCTTGGACATGACAGATAGTACCTTAGCACGGTCGTCCTTATTGGACTGGATGGTCTTGGCAGAAGACCAAGCGTGTTGGTACACCGCGACGACAACCAGCCGAGTACCTGCAATGTCCGCACGAGCTTCTAAGACTCTACCCGGGCTCCACTCCTTCCAGCGTAAGCTTTTGGGGACGAACTTGGGAGAGAATAGGATCATGACTCCATCAGCGCGAGTCGTGGATGGAGCTCGCGGTTCTTGCCGAGTGTTTCGCTTCGCTGCTTGTTTAGGCCGGGTGTTGGGTTTGGTAGACTCCGAGGCTGAGGAGATACAGTACCACCCAGAAACGCTGAATTCACTGGTCTCAGTCCAGTGCGTTTCCTGCAATATGAGGATGTCGCAGTGATGAGAGGCTTCAGCTGCTAGCCACGTTTTGAGTTCGCCCCATTGCTGTTGGCCTAGGTGGCCCGCGTTCCACGAAAGAACTCGAATGGATCTTTCCAACCTTCCTGCCCTGCGGGAGGCTGTGCCATATGCAGGGGAGTCAGCAGTCTGTGACTGAAGCTCTCTTCGAGTGGGTGGGGGGCGCACCCCCAGACGATCAACCAGGGTAGGTGTCAGAACCTGCCCTCGATACGGTACGGGCCCGTCGCTACGGACCGTCCTTCTACATGCTGTCTTGAACGAATTCTTACGAAGAGATGCAAAGTTTTGTGAGTGCACTGGCAATTGCGCCATCCGCTACTTTCGTCAAGAGACAGAAGCCTAATGACTCCCTCCACCGCGCGGAGGTGGAAACCCTACCGCCTACCCAGTGTTGCAATGTTTTAAACAGAGTCTGGGCCCAGGAATTGGGACCTGGCGGCTCAAAGCAGCTCCTGTGAGAAAAGGGAGAGGACCATGGCGTAGAAGGAGGCACAAACCTTTACTGTTCAGAAAAGGGCCCGGTTGGAGCCTCTAGCACAGCAGTTGCGCCCCAAGCCTGTTCGAAACCTCTCATTCAGCGCGGCCGCTTGAGCACTTGTGGCGGCTACTACTACTACTACTACTACTACTACTACTACTAGTACTACAACTACTACCACCACCAGCCATAACCATATTTTTTTTATACTGCTGCCACTACCGCGACCACCACGACCAGGGACCCTACCGGTATCAAGACCACTGTGCAACCACTGCAAGGGTGCCTTTTCTTCCAGAACATTGTTTCTTCAGGTGAGGTTGATGATACTTTTATGGGTTGCCACACCGTCACTTGTTAGCCATCGTTGAGATACACTCACGGGAGATGAGCACGAGTACTATTGCCGCCTTTGACTATCCTCTTCCGGACTTTGTCTATCTTGTGCTCGTCTTTCAACAGTGTTTGCAGCTTTCTTGGTTTGCCATGGCCCAGAATTTTTGCGCTGATTGTGAGAAGTAATGTCGCGATCCAAGTCGGGCGTCAGCCCTGCGTTCTCAAGCATCATATCACCTGGGTTGTTGATATTCTGCTTGTTGCAATGGCTACAGTTCAGTACTCCAACGTACGAAGCACGGCTTCAAGCTTGGTTCAGAAGGCACCTTGTCGCTGCCGTTTGCAATTGACTCGCAGGCGGTGTGGGAAACCGTCTTGGCCGTGGAGCGTGCGCTGAAACCCGGCGTTTCCTACAAGGCTCCCATCAAAAGCCGTGTTAGCTAAGCTCGGATGCTGCTTGCAATTGCAATCGAACGAACGAGCACGAGGAGATGCACCGGCTTGCGCAACGAACGCTGTTAGAGCGAATGTCGGCGGCTGGGCTTTTTGCTCCCTGGCAGAGGGTTGGGAAGGCAGTGGGCAGCTTTCGAATGGCTTCTATACGGCGGCATTTCCATCACAATACCGGGGGCGGGTAGGAGCAGAAAGCGTCGCCTTCTGCATCGAGTTTTCTTTGAGTTGCCGTGGAAGGTTGGCCAAGTCGACGAGATGATGGCTGAAGGTGCCTGTTTTCCACTCAAGGGGTGCCTACTGCTGGACAATCCGTGCTCAGTAGCTGAGTGGAAAGTATTCGCGACTTGTAACACCCTTCTGCCCTTCGTCACTAAGCCCAAATCTCTGCAGGCCTTATGTTCCACTTCATGCCGCACGGTCTCGGTCACCAATTGGGGCTAGATGTCCATGACGTGGGCGGCTACCCTCCCGGTGTGGTGCGGAAGGACCGGGACATCGGGCGCTGGGAGCTTGAGGGCTCAAGCATTCCGATGGCCTCGGAATCCTTTAGGCATTCCCTTAGGACGTCGACCTTGCTCGCAGACGTTGCAGCCTGTGGAGGACGATCCCAACATCAAGGAGAATCTGAGATTAGGCAGGGAGTTGAAGGAGAACATGGTGCCTTGTCAGACTTGGCTTGAAACACAGCTGATGTTTTTCTCCCCAGAGGCGACGGCTCAGAGCCAGAGCACATTTTTGTCTCAGGTGATCACTGTGGAGCCTGGCTTCTACTTTATTGATTACCTTATTGAGGAGGCCATGGCAGATCCCAAGAAGGGATGCTTCATCAACCAGGTGTGCCACAGCAGATGGGGCCGTGGGCAGGCGAGCTTTGTTGTGGTTGGGCGGCCGCTGCAGGAGAAGCTCCACCAGTTCTGGGCAGATGTCGGCGGGGTGCGGATAGAGGACAACGTACCTCGGATGCCGGTTTATCCAGCAACCAAAAACACAAACAGCAGTGGCAATCAGCTGAGCTTCGTCAGAACGATAACCCTGACTTGAGCTGAAACCAGAGCGGCCTTCCGCCTGCTATCCGCGTTCCCTGAGGTCGTGATCACGAGCAATGGCTGCCGCGTTCTCACCTGCGTTCCCCGCACTGTGGAGGAGATTGAGGCTTGGGCCTCAGGGCCGCGGCCTTGTGGCCCCGGAAGCTTCGTGCAACGAGGGAGGCCAACGCTTGTGGCGCAGGCCGTGATGGCCGGCGGAGCCTGGCAGGCGCCCTTTCGTGGTGGAGCAACGGCCGTGGTTTCGAAAGTTGCCAGGTCAGCGCTTCCTGCTGCCGCTCCTACATCGCCGCTTCGAGGATGTGAGGGCTCCGCCCGACGTTAAGCTCTGGCGTAAGTCAGCAGCTGATGCTGTGAATCTTTCTTGTCATTGAGTCATGCTCCATGATGCTCCACGGTTCCTTCTCCTTATTCGCTTCCTCACCGTCTCTCTCATCTCCCACCTCCCTGCTGCCATGACCAGACCACCAGGCCTTCCCCTGTTCCGAGCGATTCGTCTCTCTGTCTCTCTTTTGCAGCAGCGGTTTAAACATTGAATCGAGGCTCAGGCTGTTTAAGAGCCTGCGAGAGTCTGCTAGGCAGAGGCGCGGCCCAAAAGCTGGGACTGGCACTTTAGCATCCGCCCGACGTGGAGCCTCCATGTTGAAGGGCGTTTGCTGGAATGTGCAGAGCGGAGGTACGATGTGTACTGTCACGCTCGCGATCGGGGCACGGAGGTCGACGTGGGGCTTTCTGCAGGCCTGCATCACACAGCCAGTGCAGTTGCATATCTGACACCAAAAGTTCGGTTGTAGCTACTGCGAGTTTCGTGCAGAGCTTGTCTTGGCATAGCTTGTGTTGGCATTTGTGAGCGCATGGCTTGGTTTCAGTGAGACGAGACACTTTGCAGTCGTATTTCAGAGCCAGACCCTTGGGTGGCACACGACACGCCCATACCACCGACTACCAGCTCAGCCGGGCCACAGGGTGACAGTCTTCGACCAGAGGAAAAGGCAAGACCACACAAGTAAAGGTGCGAGGACCAAGGCCAACGCGTCCTTGGTGGTAAGGGATTCTTTCGAATTCTGCCTGAACCCGATGAAGTTCTTGCCGTCTGTGCAGGAAATCCTGGAAACGACGTGGATTCCGCACATGCCTGGGCCTCGATGCAAAAACGGACATTGTCATGTTCAGAGGTGAGGTTCATTGAAGATTCAACTTGTTTGCAGACTCCACTGTTGGATATCATGATAGCGGAAGTCATGTATCATGAGTCACACTAGGGCATGGAGGAATCTCGTTTCTTCTTGATCGACAGAGCTTAAGCGGCCAAGCCGCACCCACCTTTGCCCACCTTTGCGGCTGTTGTTTAAGATGGGACCTGTTTGGCCGACATGCCTCTGGACACTCCGGTCGAATCATTTAACTCAGTTTGAAGAAAATTCGGACAGGATGCGCAAACAACAAGCGTAATGATGCCCAGTCCCGTCAGTACAAAAAGGTTCCCTGCAGAGCAACACTGCACAGCATGCGCTGAGGACTTTAACATATGTCGAGCATGTGCATGTGCAGTGGTCGTGGATGTCGCGCAGGAATCGGATGAAGGTAAGATTGCGCGAGATGTTCCCCTTCGGAGACCCCAAGGCTCTCGAAGTAAGCCTGCCTCAGGTCCTCACGACCAAGCGCGACATCCACACCATGGGCGACTCCACGCCACCCTCCGTGGTGTCGGTGCGATCGCCAGAAGCTTCCGAAGAAATCGGGGCAGCTTTAAAGTTGCGCATCTGCCAGGTATCTCCTGCACACCAGCAGACCGGGGTTCTCAGCAAGCCGACTTTCACGAGCCTTGGACTGGAGAAACAGAGAGCCGGAACAGTTCCGATGAGTGGAGACGTCGTTTAGCCACGAAGCGGAGCCAAGGATTGTCTTCGACGAGGACATTCAGGCCCGCACCGCACACCTCCCCACACCTGCCCACCCCTCTCCGGCTTGACTTTCGATCGTCCGAGGGAGTGTGCATTTCGGGGCATGGAGTGGTCAGGCCGGCAGTGGCAACGTCGTGTTCACGCCGCAGCAACTTGGATGCACGTTCAGTGCGTGCCAGGAGGTTGGAGTTTCTTGTGCATGCGCATGCTTTGGGGTTTCAGCATGGCTCAGCATGGTGTCCTGTACGGGAAGATGGGATTGGTACTTCTTGAGGACGGGCAGCCCCATCTCCATGGACATCTCGAATGCTGCTGGCCTCAGAACAGCTCGGGACAGGGTTGCCTTCCACACTCGCAGTTAAGTGATGCGGTTTACATGTCATCCTATAGAGTCTGCCTGTAGACATCTAGGTTCGCAGGACCACCCAGTTGCCCTAGAAATGTCCGCATCCTTGCTGTGTGCCGAGTCTTCAAGGTCAACACCGGAACATGTGCGCCTGCAAAGCTCAGCATCGTGCTCACGACTTTCACGGCCGGAGTCTTTGTAAATGGAACGGGGATCCATGGGTTCCAGAGATAGACACCGTAAGCCTTGCCGAGAAGTCTCTCTCAGGCTGTCCACAGAGTGTCAGATCTTCTTCCGTCAGTCATGACGCTCAGAGAGTTTCCAGGTGGATTGGTCCTCCTGCGGCGCTTCGAGCCCGCTGTCCACCTCAATGAACTGGCCGCTTTCTTCAACTGCGCTGAGTGATACAAGTAGTGGATGCAATGGATATGGACTGCGAGAAGCCACTAGTCGAGTAGAGGCCGCGAGTCGAGGCAAAGAGTTGTGCAGCACAGCCACAGCACGAGTCCTTCAGAGCAGTCGAAGCTTGAAGCCGAAGCCCTGCAGCCAGCGTGGTCCAGCCTCGGGCTCCTCCAGCATCCCAAGCTCAGTGCAGCGCGCCCAGCCAAGGTACGTGTCCTTCGTGGCGGGTGTCCTCACGGACCGAAACTGATCCTTGCGCTGAGCTTTGCAAAAGCAAAGGGGAGCTAATGCTTCAACACGGAAACTCAAGGTCCACCGTCTTCAGAAGCAGCGATTCTGCGCAGGATGCCTCCCCGGCGACCAACCTCGTGCCCGCCTTCGGGGCTAGCAACTCGCAGCCCTGGCAGCAAGAACTTCCCGTTGAATACGAGGGCCTGATTATTGTAGAGGATCCTTCGAATCCGCACTCAGGGAGGAGGGTTTATTCCCCAAGCAGTGTAGTCAGTTTAGTGTAGGAGGCCTTGCTAATTCGAACATAGATGCTGGGGTGTCGCTTCGTGCCTGCGTGGCTATTGCGTTTTTTTCCGACGCCTGTCTCCCCAACCCCACTTCGTTTGGGACAGGTGAGGGTGGCTAGTGCCGGAGAGGAATGTAAGGAAGAACAGCAAACCAGTCGAAAAGGATTGAAAGGCTTCAGAAACAGAAAAAAGCAAAGCCCTCGAACGACGTTCGAAAAATTGAAGCTGATTTTCCAAGCGCTCGCAAGACATCCAAGAGGTTGACAAAGAAACGAAGTGGAGAAAGAGAAGAACACCATGAGAAACAGGAGTATCCCGCCCAAACGAGACTCTGGCTATCGACGCACAGAACAAAGTGTCGCCATAGAAGAACTACTATATGCGGTACACTGCTTGATGCATTCACAAGAACTCCTACCTTAAACCAGAATAGACGACCCCCACCGGTTCCAAATGAGTGGAGAGACAGGGAAACTTGACCAGCTTTGGAGCACGGCTGGATAGAGGGGGACACAACTGGTTCGCTCCTCTTTCTCAAACTGTTTTCGTCATTTCCCTACTCGCTTGTTGTTGTGAGCTTTGGCCGGTGTTTCTCAGATTGCCCAGTCAGTTTCGGATCGACACGTTTCTTGATTTTCACCTAAATGTTTGGCGTTCCCAAGAGCAGCACTTTTCGACGGGTTTGCTCTTTGCTAAACTCTCGAGTATGTTGCGGGCGTGTTTCTCAAAGGTTGACGTCCATTTCAACGGGTTTTGCTACTGTTTCTCAAAGTCTCATCTTCGTCAAATTGTTTAGCTGTTTGTGCGTGCTTCTCAAGTCCTATCGCTCCTTGCGACTGCAAGCACGGCTTGCCCATGTTCTTCCGTTTTTCAAGTATTGTTAAGCAATCGGTTGATTCTCAAAATCGTTCATTTGTCAATATCCACAGGCCTTTTTTTGAAATCTCCTGTCTGTCAGATTCCATAGCCTCCTTCGAGCGGTTTGCTCAGGTTTGTCAAATTGCCTAGTTGCCTCCATCGAGCGCTTTGCTCATGTTTGTCAAACTGCCTGGTCAGTTTCAACTGGTTCGATCATCGTTGCCAAAATGTCTGCATTCTCAAACCTCTAGTCTGTTTCGAAAAATTTGCTGGTGTCTCTCAAATCTGGCATGGGTTTGATCCTCTTTCTCGAATTGTTTTTGTCAGATTCCCTACCCTTTCTTTATCAAACTTTCTGGCCTGTCTCGACTGGTGTGCTCCTTTTCTCAAACCCTTCTCCTTGTAAAGGTTTCTGGTACCGTTTTATCCCTTTTGCGCGTTTTGGACCAGCATACTCCTGTTGTTCAGATTTTCCCATCCCCTTCGAGTGGTTTGCTCATCTGTCTCAGTTTCTCCTCCCCTTTCTCGAACTTTGTCGTTTTTCGTCGAACGCCGTAACCCTAATCCTCCAATCCTCCAGTCTCCATCTACAAGTCGCTGGCTGTTTGTGTCAAAGTCACCTCTGTCCGATTCGAATCCTTCTTCCAAAATTTCAACTGTGCCAGACTCCTGTGTGGGGATTTGAAGTCGAAACCAACTACTTGGGGTCTTCGGTGGAGTAACTTCTCGGGGAGGTGTCTACATCTCAGATTGTGTATTGCAGTTGGGGAGGAGGCGTGTTCCAGTGAGCCCAGAACCAATCAGAATTGCTGCCGAACCACGGAGCCAGAAGCAGAGCAATTCGCTCAGGTACTACTTCACCACGGCCTAAGAAACGCTCTGAGAAAGAGACGTCTCACGCGTCCGCGCAGATCCTCACCTCGAAGATGGATACCGAGCAGATCTCGGGGGAGGGAGCTGGCCCAGCTGGGCCAAATCCGCCTCAGGCCGTGCCCCCCCTCCCCAAGCGGGTTGGCAGTCTTGCCAAGCTTGCTTTCCTCTATTTTCCATATCATTTGAAAGGCAGAATGTACCACTACGTTTCACGCTGAACCTGAGGAACGACAAGTGTGCTGCTTCCACGTTTGTGACCATGCAGCGTCCGCTAGTACCCATGCACACTTGAGGCAAAGGCATACTCAGTATCTTTGCAGCGTTCGCTCCTCACAGTTTGAGCTCAATCGTTAGTGCACCGAGCTTCCCATTATTGTCGCCCATCGTCTCAGCAGAAGACGATGCCTGCGGGGGAGTGCTCCGACCCAAATGTCGATTCGAGAGATAGTTGCGGCATCTATGCGCGTGAGATGCGTATTGTAATGTTCGAAGTTGCAGCCCCTTTCCGAAGGATATGTATTCTTTCCGTTTTCTAATTTTTCTGCGCTTGCGGCCAGCTTAACAAGCTCCGAGTTTCAACCGTATGGGCGCGCAAAGGCGCAAACCTTAGGTCTTCTTAGAAGCTAGTAGTCGTGAACGAGAAGTATGCAGGTGCCTGCACCGGTCGCAAAAACGTGATGTTTCAGCATTCTGCGCCAAGAAGTTGAGAGCCTGACGCCTTGGATAATCTGGAGTTTCTGTACGCGGCCTGCAGCAATTAGGCTGGCTCAGCGCCAGGGAAGACCGAGAACTGTGGCAGCAAAGCAATCAGACACGTGACCTGGAGCACTCAGAGAGCGTCATGGAGCCATAGCGCAAGTCAAGTCAAGTAAGAGTGTATCTGGCTACCCTGCTTGGAAGCCGAGCCGGTGGCCCAGCAAAGGCTCTTCAGTTGAGCTCAGCTTCTGGAGCCAAGCCCGACGGCCCAGGCATGGAAGATGGCCAGGTCGATTCTGCGAGAGTTGCTGCCGGTTGCTTTATCTTCCCGACCTGGAAGACGAGTTCATGGCTTGCTTTTGTATGAAGTTGAAATCCTGCAGAACTGCCGGAGAGGATGGGTCTGATCCTCCGTGCCAGGAAGACGACGGTGATGACTACGATGAAGAGGACGACCTAGAAGAGGCCCGGTCGGGAGCTTGGACGCTGAGTGAGGTGTGCTAGAAATTCGGCCGCATCTGTGATGGCTGCTTGAGTTGAGATGCTATTTGTTTTGTAGTGTGTTGGCCGCATGCAGGACGAGAATGTGGAAGTTCGAGAAGACGAAAATCCTGAGCCTCGCCTGCATTGAGTCTCTGCCGTAGCGCTCCCGTCATTCTTCACGTCCCCTAAACAGGAGGAGAAGCCAAAGGCCTGGGCTGGGGCCATGATAGCTTATGATGGCAGCAACAGGAGGTTCACATGCTACGAAGCTACATGAGGTAGGGGAGGAGGCTCTCAGGCGTTCGGGCAGCGAGAGCTTGCGTTGTGCTCCGTCAGCTTCGCTTGGCAGGCTTCCGAGGGCCCGAGAAAGACCACACCGTACCTTACAAAGTACGAAAGCGGAGACCTCGGACAAAAACGGCACGGAGAGGAGTCTCGCGACGGGTGTAGCTATAAAGCTTAGCTCCGACTTCAGAGGAGAGCATGCCGTCTCAGCGGTCTGTGCGACCTATGGAAGGTAAAGCTATGGAAGGTAAAGCATAAACAACTTGCATCGGCACGATGTCAGCCAAGGGGCACGGATCCTTGGTGCGCGGGCATTACAGATAAGCATGAATGCCTGGGCCTCGATGCAAGTTGTGTCATAGACAGTGCAGTGTGGATGGGAAGGGTATGCCTTGTGACGGAGATTGTGTCTCTTGCAGTGGTCTGCATGTCACATCTGTTGCAGCAAGGCACCAGTTATGGTCACTCTTGAGGGTGAGACCGACCCGCTCCTCATCGCCGAGAAGGACAGGAAGTATCTTCGTGAGTTCCAGCAGACATGTCACAGTAGCTTCCGCGTGTTGCATGTCCAAGGACCTTCACGAACCTTCCTAGCCTCTCATGGCCTCACCAGGAGCTTCTTCAGCGAGTCATCCCTTTCGTGATCCGCCGCTTCCTGCCGGACAACACGTACGAGGACTGGAAGGCCCACGCAGTAGCCGCTTGCTGCTATGGCCTTGCGGACGGGAATCTTGGGGAGTTGGAGTATCTTGGAGTCTCGATTGGCTGCCCTCCGCGGTGAGCTGGAGCTCTCCGTCGTCAGGTCTCAGAGTTACTGGACCTCGAGTGAGCCTGCTCTGTGAAAATCGGGCATCCGAAGAGGAAAATGAATCGAACTGGGCCAGGCATCACAGTGCAGTCGTTGAGTCCGCCGGGCCCCGGTAGCCAAGCCACCGCTCTTCGTCAGCCTCTCGGCTCGAAGCCATTTTCCGGGGCGAAGAACCAGACCACAGCACACCTAGCAAGAAAGCTTGCATCAGTTTGTAGTGAAACAATCAACTGATCGTCTTTAAGCCGACATAGTGCGATGCGCTCGGATGACCCCGGCAAAAAAGAGCTTCCAGTCGCGCCGCCGGAGGCCTGCTCCTCCAGTTCATGGGACAGTGTGCAGACGTCCAAGCATGGCGTCCAGGCCGCTTCAGGCTTCCGCCGGAAGGTGAAGAATCTGATTAGGCCGGCCTCTGTCCCTGCGTCGACCCTTGTCGCGTTCAAATCGGTTTGCTGCATCCCAAGCTGGCTCACCACGCGAACGTCCTTGCGTGTTGAAAGCAGAGGGCACGGCCAGGCGCGAGACGGAGCCAACATCGAACTCGCAAGGTCCCTTCAAGCACCGGCCTCAAGAAAGATGCTGCAAGTGCCGAGATGCCAAGGGTCAAGGTCAGCTTCCTCGACCGCCAGGTCGTCAAAGCTACCGGAAGGTGACAACGCCGGACACTCTGAGAAGGGGCCTTTGGATGTGTGGTCCCTTCGGGAAGGAGGTGTTGTCCTTCAGATCGGCGTGGGTCCCTGCTTGCCAGTGCTCGCCGGTGCAAGTCCAGGCTCCTGTTCCTGCGGCCACTGCGCAGCCTGCATCGAAGGCTGGGTCCAGCGCAGTCTGTTCTCCTGGTCGCTCGCAATAATAGCCTTGTCGAAAGTTGGAAGTGAGAGTTGTTGCAGACAAGCGGTAAGCAGTGGGGGCCCTAAGTCTCTGAAGGTTCCATCGGCCCCACCAGTGCCGCGATCGGCAGGCCGCCTTCAGCGTGTTTTTGTGCAGGAGTGTAGGGTTCAGGGTTCAACCGGTTGACCAGAACGACAGAAGGAATTGCTGTGGCTTCAGATGTCTCATAATCAGCATCGAAGATGCAGTAAGCAGGGCTTCTCATTATGGCTCGGGTGAGTGCAGCTGTGACCGGCGTCTGCCGACTTCCCGAAATACCATGATGGGTATGTTTCGGATGTTGATGTATGGGAGGATGCTGAGGCAATCTCTTCAGTGTCTCTGAGAGCAAGGAGAGTTTCCGCCACTGGCTGCAAGCCGAAGTATCGCAGTGAGCCGGCTTAGGTCGAGAATGGTTGCCCTGAGAGGCACAGGGTCTCGGAAGTGTTCCTTGAGAGGTTCCTGCTATGCGCGGCGCCGGCCATTCTGGAAGGCGGAAACACGCCGTGAGCTTCCGGCCAGGGCCATAGTTTCCTGGTTTTTAGCTTCACGAGGCGGTGAGGATGACTCAGTGACTCTTCAAGACTCCCAGGCTCGACGGGTGTCTGAGTTGAAGCCTCTTCCATGCAACGTGCGGCTCTCAGCTTGGAGCAACCGAAGGATCGAACACCAACAGTATCTATACGGTTCGACCGTGGGCTCTGCGGTGTTTGCAGAGTATGGCAAGTACTACAACTTCGGGCAAAGTTGTATGTGTTTGTAACACTTCGACGAGCCTGTCATCGAGATTCTTGCAGCCGACGAAGCACATGAGCATCAAGAAACTCGCAGATTGTACTGATCAAGTGGCTGCAGTCGGTGGTGTCCCCGCCAGTGCATGTAGTACGGAGAAAAGCCGAAAAGCAAATGACGATTGTTCTCAGCCATACGGTTAAAAGAACGCATCATGGAGGCAGTGGGATATATGCAAAAGGTACAAATACCAGAACGAAACACCAAACAAATACAGTAGAAACACCTAAATCAGGCCAGGAAACCAAAGCGCCCCTGTCTCAGGCTCGCTTTTGGTTGTATGCTTTACTGTTTGTTCCAAGCAAAAGCAGAATAAGCTCACAAATGAAAGGCATAAGCGAGAACGCAACACAAAACAAACAAAAACCAACAGTCAGGAACACACACAAACAACAAAAACTGCAACAAGGCACGCAGATACGAGCAACATACCTCCCACGATCACCTGTTCTGTTTCTTGTGTTTTTAGGTTGCTTTTTGTTTATATCTTGTCCTGGATTTCCACAGTTTGCAGCGTTTGCGGACTCTTAACCATAGGACACGATACCGATACCGTACTCGTAGTGCTAGCAACGGTGTTGTTTTCGCAGCCTTCTGAACCATGTTCAGTCCGGCCTGTGCTCCCTTGCGAGTCTCGTGGCGTTTTGTCAAGGCGCGGCCTGCAAGAGGCCGGTCGCCACCAGCGTCGACCAGGCGCGGCTGAATCGGAGCACGTCTGTTGAAACCTAGGGCTACGCTGGATTTCGCATTGCGGTTTACTATGCATACCTTTGGGGAACAGGCATCTTTCTTTTCCCATTCACCGGCTTCCGGAACACATGGAATGCAAGCATCTGGCATCGATGGCAATATACATCCTTACTTACTTTCGGTTTCCAAACTACCTTCCTAAACAAAAGTATGACTGTGGGTGTGTTGACGCGAAGATTTCGGAACGGTTTCCTACATGTATTGAAGCATCACGGCATTGTGTGCCCTGCAGTCAATGGCTTACGCCACTGTCGTCAATCACTTCCGACCAACTGTGTCGTTGATGTTCGGAGGCTTGTGTGGCTTACAACAAATGTGGGTAAAAACAGCCACATGGCAAGTTCTCGGGACAAATCTCCAACGCTCGGCATCAAAACCTTGGATTCCTGCACGGCTGTTGCTTCGGTACATTGCCTGCGCTCTCGCGTTCAGGTGCCTCAGCAAAGAATCGCAGCCCAAAGCGGAGGAGGCGAACAAGCCCGAGGTCCGCCCAAGCTGGAAGTCTGGCTTCAAACTACATGCATTCTTGGCGGTCCCAGTTGCTAAAAGGATGCTGCGGGAGCTTGCTGCCGGATCACTAGATCTCAAATACTTAACCTCCGAAGTTTCCGGCTGTGTCTTCGAAGGAGTCGACCTCCCCATTGGCTGCCAAGCAGCGGCAAGCATTGGCCATGTCTCCTGGCATCGTTGGTTCTTGGTGGCGTCTGTCTCCGCGAGCTTCGTTGTTCGGTGCACCATGCGTTGGGAATTGGGGTCCTGGGTTTCGACCTCTCAGCGCTGCATCGCTCATGACAGGAGAAAGCTGCACAAGACAGCCGAGATCTACAATGCACCAGTCACTGTGGGCCACACCTTCAGGCCTCGGATTTCACAATTGCAGAGCTGCTTTTTAAAGCATCCTTTCGGGACTCCGCTGCAGGAGAAAGCTGCCGCAGACGTTGAATCACATTGGAAGGCTGGAAAGCTTTAAAGCACGTTGAAAGCAGTGTCGTCCCGGGAACCTGACCAAGATCACCAGGCCGAGAGGCACTTCGCTCCCGCCTGTGCTTCAGCAGGCGCCGCACAGCCGTGCGAAGCAACTGCTCATGAGGGCATGCGGCATATATGCGAGTTCCTGAGCATGTGTTGAATCGAGTTGCTCAGACTTTTTGTAAGAAGATTGGGGGAGTCACATCTGGCCGACACGAACTGCGCCGGACTGCCCGCTTTCAGGAGACCCCGGCTGGCCCAGAACCATCGCGGCAGAACACTGCCGCCTCCCAGGAGACGAAAGCTCCGCTGCTCGCTTCCTTGCCGCAGGCCTGTGATTGTCAAATATACATAAATATATTAATATCATGAAATACTTGTTATTATTATTACTATTATTATTATTATTATGATTATGATACACTAGTATTATATATATATGTATGTTTACAAGACGGTCTCGGTCTTGGAACGGGGGAGTTCACGGCAGGCCGACCCACCTTGGCCGGCAGCGGAGTCTGAGGTCGCTAAGGCCAGGACCTTGGAAGTGCAGTGGTGGAAGTGCAAGAAGCAGGAACAAATGCAGATGGTGATTGTCTCCTCTGTGAGGCAGTGGAAGAGGAGCGTGAGACGACCAGCACGTGGGCAGGCCGGAGTGGAGGTGCTGTTTTGCTTCCGAACAATTCAGGAACTGCTCGATACCGAGCAGTCAGGAGACTGCGTGAGTCTATACATCCGAAACCAATGTTACCGAAGGTGAACACCTCATCGGTCGGTTGACGTGTCAGGGCTGGACTGCTAGACATCGCCCGTATGATCGCTGTTGAAGGCGCCACTGTCCGACATGGCGACGACGCCAATCTAGCCGCACTTTTCCGACAAGGCGCAGTCACTTATTCCCTGCAGAGCTTGGGCTTTGGTGCAACGGCTCCCTCGTCTCGGCAGGCTGGGAGCGCACCCAGCAGCAAAACGCACAGGCCGCAGCCTCCACGGCCACGGCCACGGCCAGTTCCGGGACCAAGCTGGATTGTCGGCAAGAGCTCTGCAAGACCCCACGCCGCCCACTCATACGGAGAGCTCGTGTTGCAGCGAGGCACGGAGCCCAGCGCTCCAGCACCCATCGGGAAGCTCCCGATCTCGGCCAGCCTTGCACCCAGCAGCCAGCATGGCCCCAGTGGTCCCAGCCTGCTACTAGTTTTACTTGGTGTCTTCGTGGCCATCGACATCCGAAAACAACAGCAGCTCAAGGCGCAGAAAACAAGTCTGACTTCAGTTCTAGAATATGAAGCAGGCATGCAGCCGTCACTACCACTGACAGGATCCATCCAAAGAAGTGCGACCTCAACCCTTAGCCCTTTCCCTGGGATCTGTTTCCACCCGCGGACCTGTGTTGATGAAGACCATCTCAGCAGTGCAGACAGCAGTAGTTCTAGTCGGTGGTCTCCGATGGCTAACACGAAGGAAAACTGCGTCATGAGAGAGAGAGAGAGAGAGAGAGAGAGAGAGAGAGAGAGAGAGAGAGAGAGCTCAAGTACTGCACCTTTGCTTGGGGGCCTGTGCCGCCTCCTTGCATCGGGGGGGAGGCAGGAGGTTAACCCAGGTTGTTGCCCTGGGGGAGCCTGCCTGTCTTCCCCAGCGGTGCT